AATGAAAAAATCTCATTAACACTGAGTCATGAATGAGAAATTTTATTAGCATAATGAAATTTGCGGGTGGTTGGCGAAAAAGAAAAGAACAAAAAAATTGTTACAAAAAATTTATTCATTTATGTTTTGTGGATGCATGCATACATAAAAAGTTTAAAAAATGTAATGCTGTCGTTCTAGCAACGACAATGATATAAAAATGGGGATTTCATTTAAAAAGCTTAGTGTGATAGTTCTCATGAAATGCTGGAGGGGGCACAACTCAGGGATTTCATGGTGTTTATTGGATAATGGAATGTACTGTCGGTTTTATAATTGGAATTCAGGGCAGTAAATTTGTTGAAAAATAAAAAATTATTGTGGTTGTGGATCAAAAGTTTTTCCGTGATAGATGTGCATTTACATTGATATGGACCATGTTTGTGTGACTGATGCTTCAAAGTATGTAAATCATAGGTCAACAACTCAGACAGGGTTTAATTTTAAGAAGATGGAGGAGAACAATTAAGCTGAATTGAGTGATTTTTTTTTTGTCTTCAAATTCTCGCATCTATTTTGATTGGGGTCCTTCACATATGACGTCCATTTAAGGTATTTTAATCCTTTTTGTCACTTAACTGCTACATTACATTTTTTAGACTGGAACCAGACCTCTTTTAGCTATATTTGACATCATTTATTGCAATCACCTAATTCCTAACGCCTACAACTTGAACTGACGAAGCAGCACTAAACGGATCCATCCACATGTCTACAATGTAACCGTCACTGCCGCATAGACAACCCCAAGTTGACAACACAAGTTGTTCAATCAAGATACAGTCAAATAAAAGACTTTATGTATACTCTGCATCAGTGTTGTCTAAGCTTTTTGAGCCATTAATTTTGAGAATACCAGTGTGCCGCGGTACACAGTTTGGACAACACTGCTCTTCATAAGAACATGTAGGTGGACAGTCAATTAAGGTTATATAAATATTCATTTCGAAAATTCTAAAAGCATTTCCTATCCAAATTTCCCAGAAACTTATCATTCATGATACTAAGTTCAACAAACCTACACAGAACAAAAGCTTCAATCCCCTTAGCAACTTATTTTGTCATCAACAAAGTAAAACGTCATCACAAGTAAGTACATCAGTTGTTGATGAGTGAACTCACTGCTGGAGTGCTCTGTGTGACTGTAAGATTTTTTTTTTATGATGATGTGCTTTTTATATTTCATACGAGACGTCCCTTTTTTCTTTCTCATTCATTTCCATTCTCATCCGTAAGCATTAGAACAATTTTTTTATTGTTATTCAGCTTTGAATACAAAAATAAAAGTTAAGAACAGATGGCATTAGTAATTGTGATTTCATCTTTTTTTCTTGCTGTCTTTCTGACTTTTTACTAGCATGTAAGCATAGAGTTTTTAGCGGTTTTCATGGAGATATGTGGATGTGCTGTTGTGGTGATTTAGATGGATTGACATCGCATCGGTATAGTCGAACTGAGGATGTTTTAACTGTGTCTAATCTCTTGTTGAGGCGTACCTAATGTATTTAGAGACTACACCTAGCTCCTTTCATAACTCTAGTTGCACACACTAGATTTTTGTAGATTTCCCTATAAGTGCCATATGTGTGTACTAATGTAAAACAAGTTGGGTGCGATGGGAATCGAACCCATGACCTCAAAAGAGGCGATCTCTGACCACTCGATTGGAGATCACTGCCACTCGGCTACCGAAGTACATATCTCACTTCAGCTATCCGTAATACACATATAGTCAGTTCAACGCGAACCCTATGCTCAGGCCTGTCTACTAAAGATATGCTCTTCGAGCCAATTCTACAATTATAAGTGAGTTTTTTCATTGAATACAGCCTCAAAAGTCATCATTTTTGGTTTCAAAACATCCCAACAAAACTGCGCTCCAACCATCCCATCAAGCATAAATCCAAAAAAAAAATCTTTATTGTATGAATGATGATGAATATAAAAATGTAAATATATAGAGCTGTATATGTACATAAATATATATTATTTAATTTAAAATAAACATTATAAATGATGACAATTTTTCATGATCAAAACTGCTATGTGGCGGAGGATATCATAGCGAATGGGGAGAGGTGGCTGAGACAAAGCACAATACAAAAAGGAATAGAATGAGTGAGAATGAGGAAGAAAGGAAATATATTTCATTGTTTAACCACCGGAGAATGTCAACTGTGATGTCGACATAATTCTTTTTTTCCTCTCTCTCTCTCTGCTTTACTGTGTACAGTATTGCCACAGTAGTATGTAAAAATGAATGGCTGATGGAAGTGTAAGTTTATTTCTACTGTCGACTCTTTTTCCCATGGCAACATGAAAAAGTCTGAAACGAGAAATGTTAACTTAGGAAAAATATTTATTGTGTTATTACAGGATATGAATTGTTCTAAGGACTGTAAAATAATGACGTCTATTATCTCTCTGATTTTAAGGTCCAATCTCACACATTGACCATTGACGGAAAATCTCTTCAGTTAAATTAAGGTTTTTTTGGTGACCCCCCCCCCCCCCCCCCCCAACCCTCTCTTCATAACATCCGCCTAACCAATGATTAAAGGAAAACCGACAGTTTTTGACTGTAAACGCTTTTAAAAATTCAACCATAGCACTTGAATATCAAAAATCCCTTAAAAACTCAAAATAAATAAAAGATATACATCATTAACGTACAAACCCCCATAACTTCTTTATAACATTTTCTCATAATTTTCGATTACGAATGAGATCATAAATGACACAATTAATCATCCATGGAAGCAAAGTGTTGTTGTGTGTTTTCTTTTGTAACTCAAATTAGTGTCGTTCTGAACAAGGAGGGTGAATAAGAAAATTTTCAGGTTAATTTAATTCGATTATCTTGTTACTTGCTTGATATTGTTGAGGATTATTAATTGGAAATTCATGTTTTAGAGTTAATAGAATGAGATTATTGAGAGTGAGTGTTTAATATTGTTGATATTGAGTGTTGGCGGAGCTAGAAATATTGGCAGACCTCTTTTTTCATTCATATTTCAATTTTGAGGTTAAAAAGAGGTATGGGCAAGCTTTTAGGCCTCGATAGGTTACATTTGATTATATTCAACTTTAACATCGTCTTTTAAGAATGATCTTTAAAGTTTATTAACTATAAAAACATTATTAATGATTAAAAACCATCCACAACTGCTGTTATAAGCTAAAACATCAATTAAAAAAAATTAAATTGCAGACAATAATGAAAATTAATTTCAATTAACATCGCAACTTTTCCATTATGTTTAATCTTTACAAATCGGATTAGGGACGAATGGCAAAATGATGTCTCTTAAAATCTGGAAATTTAAATCCTCCTTTCTTTCAAAGAACATAGCTTTAGACCCCGCCCCACTTTCCCCCTTGAAAATCAGACATAACTTATGTACGACCCCTTAGTTTATGAAACAAGAAAGACAGAGAGAACTCATTGCCATCCCTTGAATTAAGTCATCAGGATTCATCATTCATGGAAATGATAACACGCTTGCCAATGATAAATGAACATAGGACATGGTGCAATGAATGAAGCAAACTTATTTTTTCACTTTTATAATGAATTGTCCAATGTCTTATGATGACATTTATCATAAAGTCGCATCGTGTGAAACATAGATGGAAAATTTTTAAGAAGACAATGAAAAATGTTGCTAAGGAGGTGCAAGCAAATTGATGAGATTTTTATTTTGGTGTTGTTCTGATTATTTTTATGGATTTGTGCAAAATTAAAAATATTTCTTATTTGTGATAATCCTGCAAGAAGCAGCCACATAGCACAAAGGATTCCAAAAGAAAAATAAAAACTTACTATGGGGTCGTTCACTTATGACGTGCGAAATTAACGGTTTCCAGGAATTTTAATTGTTTTTTTTGCTGAACCCCTCCCCTCCCCCTTAAGTGATGTCACTAAGTTCTTTTCGCAATATATATTACTGGTATATTACAATAATGGCAAAAAGAGGTTGTTCAAATAGGATGTCCATAAAAAACTAGGGCAGTGATTTCTAACCCGTGTGTCATGACACGCTATATTTTCACTGTGCCGAGAAAAAAATTAGGATTTCTCACAAACCGTATGCTGTGTGCGGTTTTGGCTATGGCTTAACTTTAAATGTGCCATGATTCAAAAAAGGTTGGACACCACTGAACTAGGGTTATCATACTGCTCCTGCTCCTCCACTATTCCTCTAACCAATCTTTATCTCAAAATCCCCTTGCGCAGCAACATAAGACATTCCATCCCCAATTAAAAGTAAGACAGCATTTACAAAGGACCCCTAATATAAATTCTCAAACACACAAAGAAGTAAAGGAACGGAGACGAAAGTGGAAATGAAGTTCAAAAAAATTATAGTTCTGTAAATTTCCTGAAGCAGTTGCAGTGATGATGAGGAAGCAAAAAGGAAATCGAAATGGAGTTATATAAAGTAATTTTCTCATTCTTTTGTGACTTCTTTTCTTTTTTTACTATCCAACGTCCTTTGATAAAGACTTTATTTTCTTTCTGAACTATTTGCACTGTAAATTTCTTTTCCTTTACTGGTCTACTCTTTATGTTAGAAAACAGACCAATGTTAAGTAATCGAGGAATGAATGTTTGTCTAGTTTGCTGGAATTTTGAGTTTGTTGGAGTTTGTGGAGAATTAAGAAAGTCTTTTGAAGCATTATTCTTAAGGTTTTTACAGGAATAAAGGTTTAAGAGATCGAGTTAAGAGATGAAGATTTGAAATAGAATGATATCTGAATTCTCAAGTCATAAGTTAAGAAGAACTGACTTCTGATGCCAGTTTGAACATGAGCTAGGTTAAAAATTAGGAAATTAGATCAAAAAATCAGCTCTATTAGTAGAACAATCTGCAATAACTTACAAAGTGGTCTTTTGGCCTTAGTGATTAATTAACCAGACAAAACAACGAACAACTGTAATCAAATTTAATCTATAAGCTTTAGTTCAATTCCTTAAATAGCTTTAATTTCTTATCAATTCTACTAATCAATCCATGATGTCTAACTTCACACAAATCACCTAAATAGAGATCTTTTGTCCTTCCTATGCATAAAAAGAGAAGACAAGAAATGAAAAGAAAATAAGACAAATGGAAATATTTTCAACATTTCCTGTTTGTAAAACCAAAAGAACACTTCTCATTTTCTTGTGATTTTTTTCTTTTTTGTGTGTCTTTTTCTAATGTTCGGAGTCATTTGACTATGATATGTAGCTTCAAAGACCCCTAACATGACACTTTAATGCTTAATAGTTGTGTCAGGGTCGAAAAAAATCCAAATTTTCAAACAACGTCATTTATGAACAACCCCCATGGATAGTATTTGTCTTCAAATTTCAAAACATCAGCAAAAATAAGAGGAGGGCAAATGAGAAAAATGCTCAAAGTTTGTTCATTTCTTGCTCATCCTTCAGATTCACTCTCTTTTTTTGTCTACAATGCCCAAACAATGACCAAAAAAAAAGTGAAAATCAGCAAAAACTGAAGGAAACATTATTCTTAAATCCTTTTTCGATTGAGCACATTTGTTTTTATTGTTCGACACATATTGACCGTGAAGATGAAAAAAAGGGATGCTTTACGCTTAATACAGTTTTATTGTGAGGCATAAGAGCAGAGAAAGAGAAATGAAAAAATAACCATGGAAATTTATTTTATCGTGAGAAAAATCATTTGTGTTTGGGGATAAAGACATTTCTAGGTATGGTTAATGAATTACACTTAATTTTCGTATGGATTGGAGGTGGAATTAAAAATCATGGTCAATTTATGGTATTAATCATAGGATGGGGGAATGGATGTGTTTTTGAGGATTCTCGTTTTGGGGAAGTATTGATCAGTGATGGCCAACCTTTTTTGTGTACCGTGGAACACGGGTTGGCCAACACTGATAGATAGAAGTCCGTTAAAGACTCCTTTTATGCTTCTTTGGCAGAAAAACTCTACTAAAGCTTGTAAATTCCTTGTATCTTACTAATTGGCATAGCAAATACTTAAATATCAAACATGGATCTTCTCGACACCTCTGGATACACCAGATCCTGTCTCTCCTAATTATGATACCCACAGCACCCCTAAATTCATACAAAATCCCTAAGCATCGTCACGTCCTTCTCCAATCCACATAAATTACCTTTAAAAATAAGTTCAGAACAAAAAACTTTTTCATGCATCTCAGTCGTTTAAAACAAAATGATTTCTCAGTGGATATCTTAAATGCAACTCAGCACAAAGCGTCCTTGGCTTCATTAACATCAAAAGCATTTTCATGTTTCCCAATTAATTTATTTTTTAAAGTCAAGCGCCAGAGAGTAATTTTAGCTGGAAATTATGGACTTTCCATCAGCACCAAGGTAAATGATCAGCAATAAAACTTAAAACATTTTTTCCACGAAAAAAAAAGTCAAACATTGGCACTTAAGAGACTAATAGTAATGAAATTTTTTATGCTCATCTCATAAAGTCACGTTTCGTGTTAATTTCTTTTTAAAGTAAACCTCACGAATTACGTGAACAAACAATTTCTTTGCTCTGCTTCTGATTTCTATTAAATTTTCGACATACTGAGTAAGCAACCGATGAAGATGAGTAAAGAAAGGCGAGAGAAAAAAAAAATGACGATGATAAAATTTACGATGCTCGAAAACGTGTCAAAATAATATTTTGTGATTTCGATTTATTTTCATTCATATACGTCATACTCACCATGCTGTTTTGGTTTGCTAATCAAGGTCGGGGTACTTGAATGGATGCGGATTAGAAATGATAATGAAATTATAGAGGTAATGTTGAAATTATAGAGGGAGTCAAAAAATTTGAACAGGTTGCGCAGTACTGAAATAAAAGAAATCATTAATTATAACACAAAGCCATTGCTTTATGCTTCAAAAATATTCGATCGGCCAAGAATTCGATAGAACTGAGCTAATAAAACAAACCCGAGCTCTCTACGATGTCTGGTTAAAAAGTTTTTCTTCGCCCGAGCAGCCGAACAGCAGAACAAAGTGTATTATTAAGCTACCATTTCGAAACAAGTTTCAAAAATGCGCTAAAAATACACATGTTTGGCCTTGTGCCTAGCCACACTTAAACAGAGAACTTATCCCCAGTCTAGGAGATTCGACTATAGGTCGTTCAAATATTACGTAACAATTTTAAGAGGAAGGAGGTCTGAGGTCTTTGAAATCCCTCAAATAAAATAACATTGCAGGCAGAATGTCAAAATTTGAACCCCCTTAAAGCTTTAGCCAGAAATAATAATTCCTCTATAAACTTCTCATGTCCCACCCCTTGCTCATGCCTGTCCGCCTGCCACCAACATTGCAACATAAAAAATGTTATGATCGATTTTTTTTCCGTAAGCATTTGCTGCCTGCTGCCCATTTTGCATTCACCATTTATTACCCACTCACAGATTTATGACAATTGCTTGCTGTATTGCTTGATAAATTTCATGCGGTTAAAGGTCGTGTATTTTATATCATGCAATGTTTTACATTTTCAATATCATAAATATATTGAAGTCCTATTGAATAAATATATATTTGTTTATTTCAGTTGTTATCCTCACACTCATGTGAGATTAAAAAAAAAATCGGAAATTGCTGTTATGCTTTTTAAAAAAAAATTGTGAGCATCGAAAGCGATTCTATGTATCTATGCATGGTAACGGCTGGTGGCTAACAAATTTTTACATAAATTCAGGCGAGAAAAAAAATTAGCAACGATTTATGGGTTGAGAATATGAAGGAGAAGTAGCATTAATATTCTCCAAAAAAAAGCGTACAATTTACTCACATTTATTCACTCGAATGGCTTTGTAATGTTTCATACATTATCAGAAACACATGCTGGAATAATAATATATACACAAGTGATATATTCATATCTCTTTCAGTGTGCATTGAGCTCTCATTCCATTATATGTTGCCACATCCCACACACCCCATATCATTTCGTTCTATGCTGTTCTATTGTCGAAAAATATGAGAAGGCTTTTTTTATATGAGCTCATAAAATTTCATCAAATAATCAAGAAATATGAATTTTATTGCTCTTTATATGAGAACATGATAATATTATTGCGTTGTTAGAAGACTTCTATTTGCTCTCTCACTCCTTTATTTTATTTTTAGCTTATTTTCTGGTGAAAGATACATTATTTGAAGGGGTATCTAAGCGACTGTGGCTTGAAGCGAATTTTCTAGGGTGTGATTTAATAAAAATATAAATACAATTCTGAGAAATCTGAAGATATGGTAATTAAGAGGCAATGAAGGAATAATTGAGGGCGTTTGAGGGTGTTTTTTTAAACTTTGTATTTTAATGTCATACTTTTTCGTTAGTAGGACTGTTAATGGCTTTTAGAACTAGTTAAATGGAGCAGCATAGGGTCTGCTAATATATGACGGCGATCAAAAAACTAGTTTCGACCCTTCACTCTAGTTAAAACATACAAAAAATTAACAATTTGAACCCTGAATTTTAGACGTCATTTATGAACATCAACTTTTTTACTCTAATTATCTAGCTCTAAGGGCTATTTACAGTCTTACGCACTTAGTCCTATCGCACCTAGTCCTATCGCACCTAGTCCTATCGCACCTAGTCCTATCGCACCTAGTCCTATCGCACCTAGTCCTATCGCACCTAGTCCTATCGCACCTAGTCCTATCGCACCTAGTCCTATCGCACCTAGTCCTATCGCACCTAGTCCTATCGCACCTAGTCCTATCGCACCTAGTCCTATCGCACCTAGTCCTATCGCACCTAGTCTTAACGCACCTACTCCTAACGCACCTAGTCCTAACGCACCTAGTCCTATCGCACCTAGTCCTAACGCACCTAGTCCTAACGCACCTAGTCCTAACGCACCTAGTAATAACGCACCTAGTCTTAACGCACCTAGTCTTAACGCACCTAGTCCTAACGCACCTAGTCTTAACGCACCTAGTCTTAACGCACCTAGTCTTAACGCACCTAGTCCTAACGCACCTAGTCATAACGCACCTAGTCCTAACGCACCAAGTCTTAACGCAACTAGTCCTAACGCACCTAGTCCTAACGCACCTAGTCCTAACGCACCTAGTCTTAACGCACCTAGTCCTAACGCACCTAGTCATAACGCACCTAGCCCTAACGTACCTAGTTAACATCCTCCCAACCTAATCTACAGCCAAGTAATACCAAAATTAGTAACTCATTTGTCGCATAAAACTCACCAGAAAAATAACGAAAAATTATAGGCTTTTCTCTTCCTCACCCGCCCACTTCATAAATCTTGATAAGATTTGAATAGCTTTTTGAATAGCTTCTCTTCTTCATCTTCTTTTGTCACTGTTTGTATGGATTGCTTGTAAAAAATGAATTATGAGTCTCAACCTTTATGAAAACGAGGGACCAACTTGATGAAATGTTTATTTAAAGGTCTTTTTCTTGTGGTTAAATGGAACTTTATTTATGTTCACATGAAATTTCATCTTCTATTTTTCAAAATAAAAAAAGGATTTTTTTGTTGATTCTTCAATTATATGGAAGGTCAAGTATAGGATTTAATATTCATCTTCTAGGATTCTCATAATATTAAAATAGATATTCAACAATTTGAAGGGGATATGCGTTCATCCTTGCATGATTTTCTTAGAATTTGAATCTTCTTTTACTAAAAGCCTTCGATGAAAAGAAAACAAATGGAAAGGAAACTCTTTCAAATGTAATTTTAAGTCCTTTTTATTGAGATTCGAACAATTTCAGAGGTCAATCTTTTTTTAGAAATTATAATAATAGTAATGTGTGCTGAATAAAGAACTTATAAGTGTAAGAACGCCTTATTGAAAAAAATACCTAGTCACGAGTGCCCGAATAGCACAAGTCGGTTAATCGAATAGCAATCCGGATCCAAGCTGGTATGACTGAAGCACGGTTGTGGCTTCATTTTATACCTGGCACCATGCCAGAGTAATTTGGCTAGGTGCCAAAATTCTGATGGATTAACCAACTTGTGCCATTCGGGGTGGGAATTGAACCTGCGGTTATAGTAATTTTCAGTCATAATTAATAACCACAATACTTTCTAGAGCTATTGTAGCTTAGCAGAATTTGAATAATAAGTATTAACCAGAATCTGGAGTGGGAATTGAACCCGTGTTCTCAAAAAGAAGAATCAAGATTTTCAGTCTGTTTCTAAACCATTCGGTCACAAAAGTCTCATTTTCTCTTTGACAACTTCACCTATATATTTTGAGAATTCACACTCTACTATTTTATATTGCCAGCATTAAATATCAATAGCCTTTTCCACCCTCCAGCATCAAAAATTCTAAAACAGTGTCAATATTCCAAAAATACAAATTTTAATAAAAACCTCCTAAAAAATTTATTGCACACATTTCAATACAATTTGTCACAAAATGCAATTTCACCACTTTATAGACTAAATTCATTCTAGGTTTGGGTGATAATATTTCCTCAGGTCTACATAATATTTTTCATCACATTCTACATTCTAGATGATAAACTCACATGTTGATGTCATAAATATTTTTCAATATACAAGTTGTGTGTAAATGGATGGGACATACACATGAATGAGATGATGAATGTAAAGGATGAGGAGTTCTATCATTTTTGTGGCAGACACTTGACTCGTAGACCTTATCCAGAATAGAAATGGTCGATATACGCAAACTATGTAAGCAATAACTCATCGACTTCTTATCAATTTAAACCTTATTCTTAAGGAACTAGCTATCATTAGTGATCAACCTTATTATTCTCTCTTCCTCAAAAATTCAATTTAAATTCAAACTTTTAAGAAACAAATAATTATTTTAAATTTAAATTCTCTGCAGCTTCATATCTCATCTTTTGTAGCTGCACATGTGTCAGCTATGAATGTACGTAGAAATGTGTGCAGTTGTCAGGGAGCCCCTCAACATTTTCGAGATGATCTAAATTTATGATGTTTACACGTAGCTAAAGAGGAAAAAAATGTGTAATGAAAAATGAATATCATGGATATACTATTTACAACTCCATCTCATGGGAATAAACAGCATTGAGATGTAGCAGCAGAAGAATGAAAATGGAACACGACGTGGATGGAAAGAAGAAGACGTAAGATTGTTGAAAGCATATTGCAGTTAATTTGAATAAATGAAATATTTCCTTCAATTTCGCTCGGTTCCACTCAATTCCCTAGCTATGATACATTATGTATTGTGAAAAAATACCGTGTGCTGTGCCTGTCTTCGAATATGAATGATGTTGAAAATATTTTTTAAGTGATTTTTCTTTTCATATCCCCTTTTTTGCTGCCAATTTAATATTTTTGTTCCTGTGTTTTGTGCTAAAAAGTGAAATCTCGATTCATGTAAGGATGATAAATGTAGGTTTACAGTTAATATAACAAGATGAAGATTTTTAGCATAAAGCATGACGAATTTGTGAAATTTGTCTCAAAAATCTTTGGAATTAAGCTTAATTTGAATTTTTTTGTGTTTTGGAGATTTACTGAACATTTGGAAGGAATGTGTGCATTTTATGATTCTAGATATCAAATTCCAAAGAAAAGTATGTGAAGCATTGTCTCTTTATATCTTTCCTCAGTCGATTCGAGGTTATGTATAGTCTATGTAGCCAAAATGTGAGCCATAGAAAAATGCCAAAAAGAATGTCAATGATGGGACAGAAAGAACCTGAAGCTACAAAGGCTTCTTGGCACAGTACAGTGATGAAAAAATGTCAGCTTAATGATTTGTAATATTGTTCAAACTAGGTGAGAGAGCTAAAAACAAAGTCGGATGGAAAGCCTTTTGTTGTAACCTAAGCTCCACATAGAAACACAGTCACAGTAAGTAAGTATGTGAGTCTGAAACGGTTGACATGCTAAATGTACGAATCAAAAATTTACAAGTTCTTTCGATGGGTTTCGAACCGAACCTTATTAAGATTGAATCAAACTTAATTTATCCGATCTTAACAATAACTAAAGCGCCTAGCACAACCCTTTTCTGATTTAATCTTACAAAAATTTCCATGCGTCCACTCAAATCATCATCAGACTGCACCTCCCTTATTTGATATGAAAAGTTCAACAATTACCTAAAAGAAGAACATCCAAACTTTCCTCTTTACCCTTTTAAAAGTTCATAATCTTTTGCAACAAAAAACTTTTTTTTATGCTTTTTTTATAAGAACAGACAAAAAAAATTCAGCACAATTCCTTAAATATCTTCGCATCAAAAAAATCCTAAAGAAAAATAAGATCATGAAAAGAAAAGAAAAACTTCAATTTTGAATACAAACAACAGAGAAAAAAAAAATCTTAAAAACTCAATTTCAATTCTTCATTTTCATTCGTCCCACATTTTTTTTTTGTGTGAGCAGATTTCAATTTCTTAACTGATTAAAGCACATATATAAATTTGCTATAATAATATGAGTCATGAAATATTTATGAAGACTTTTTCGTTAATACAGATGGGACCATTAAATTGATTGATCAGATCGGCTGCTATTCCCTCTATTACCCGTTTATATTTCTTTTTCCTAGCTATATATCTTACCATTAAAATTTTATGTTTAGTTTCTTTCTGGTCTGTCTTCATATTCTATCTTTTTTGGGCTATTTTCTTTGCCTGCATGCAAGTAAGAGGAAAATTTGTGAGCTATGAAAATATTGTAATCGAGCAATATGTAATCTTTGGATATCCTGCAGTGATGAGGGAAAAATCAGCATGTCCTAGTTGTGTGACTGAGTAAAATGTCACAAGTTAAACCGTTTATTGTAAATGAAATCGATCATCTGAATTGATATTTGTCGTATGGCTGTTTAAGATGGAGATTTGGATCTTTTATGCTTAATTTTGTTTACTTTATTGTTGGTTCAATCATTCAGAATTTGCTCATGACCTCGTTTTTAGCTTGCCCTTAGCATGATAGCCTCCTTCTCAATAGTCCTTAGCTCAAAGACTTTATCCTAGCTACCCCTAGAAACATGGGCTCCATCAAAGCTACTTTTAGCTACGTGATTCTTAACCACTTCTATCGCAGTCGTATAAGACAAAATGCAATCAATTTAGAAAATTAACTTTAAGATTATCAAGACCCTAGCTCAGAGGTGTCCTCAATAAATGAAGAAGCTAAATTACACTAAAATGACACTAAGTGCATGACTAAGGTTAATAAATAGCCCACCTAGTAATGACTCTACCCCACCTGTATCTTTAATCCACTTTAATCCTTCAAATTATCAAAAATGTAGCTAAACGAAACCAATAAATCAATTCCATAAGCCAACAACATTCATTTCATCATAAGCATAGGACATGCGACACTTTTACCTACTAAACATCCTCCTTAAAGCCACATGTTAACTTCGTACCCAAAAAAAAAATTAAGAGAAAAAAAAAACAGATTCTTATGTCACATTGATATTTATTAAGCATCGCATTGACCCCGTAATAATGTACGTTTATTGTACAATAAATTAGATTGCTATAGTAAGGGAAAAAAAATATAAATGAACATTTTATTGGCATCTTTAAAGGATACGAAATATAAGCATTAAGAGATAGTAACGGTAATATAGGAAGATGATTCATTAGGTAGTTTTTTAAAGGTTTATGGTGCCGTTTTTGAAATAAATAAAGTATAAGATATAATTGTTGCTAGTTTGGTAGCTACTTAATTTATTTTGGACCCTTAAAGAAATAAAGGTTCGATGACCTAATTCAGTGTTTCTCAAACTTTTTCGGTATACGGCACATTTTTTAGAATAAAAATTTTCACGGCACACTTGAATAGTCTCGCGGCAATCCAAATGAATTTAATAACCCTATTTTAAGTCTTAAAACATGTCACTAATGTGCCGCGACACACAGTTTGAGAAACACTGATCTAATTTATAGATTTGTAAAAATGAAGACGTCGGCAAGAAACTCAATAGAACAAATTAAATTTTATTGCGAGGAGGTCTATCCTACACACGAGTTGTTAATATTAATTTCATTGCAATCAATAAACGACTATTATATGGATCAACTTAGTTACTGCAAATACGAATGATTAGTTTGAGAACATCAATATTTTAGTGATTGTCAAGTGCATTTAAGTGCATTAAATTTTAATATTTCTCATTTTGAATAATTGAATGAATCCACATCAGCAGTTTAAGCTCTATACGTTCCTTCTAAGACAGAATAGTATGAATAAGAAGTTGTCATGATCTGAAAACACTGAAAATTATTAAATTGGACTTTAAATTAAAATTTCTTATATACCCATCGAAAGATTTCTAATGACATGTCAAAAAACTTCCAAGCTTTAATAGTCTGAGGCTTTTGAGCTCTTAATATGATGAGAAGCACCAATTTTTGAAATTTTGCACTCTTTGAATACCATTCAATGTTATAAGCTGAAGAAGAAATTGCTGTTGATGAGCTAGTTTGGATGTATATAAGAATTTATGAATCTCATTAATTTTAGATAATAAATCACTTATGACGTCCAACATTTAGGGAAAGAGTGGAGTCAATAAATTTGTAACATCCAATTATTTTGTCACTATTATTGGACGTCACAAGGTAGAAGGGGGGGGGGGGGGTATTGACATCTGTGATAGTTTTGTGACAGAAGGGGGTCTAAAAACTTTGTTTTTTGATGGACGTCATGAGTGAACGGCCCCATAGCTATATAGGGTCAATCTAAGATCACAACAGTTAAACAAAAATCTTCTTACTCAATCAACAGCTGAGAAAAATAGCATAGCGTAAAAATTTGTATTGGCAGGATCAACGGAAATACGAAAAATTTTGCAATTAAATAGTGATCGACTTTAGACTGAAAATGCATGAATCAAATGATGAATCTATTAAAAATTGCTACTTTTAAAGATTACCACAGCAAGAAAACTTCCTGTGCAAAAGGCAACAATTGTGCCAAATGCATTGATGAGTTGCAATAGAGAATAAATATCATTCAATTTTTGCGAAGTCTCAATCAGATCTTGATGAATGTCAATAAGATTCTTTAGCTCTTTAATTGCTTCTTTTTCATTTTCAATTATCCCGATCTCGCTGATTTTTACACTCAAAATGTCAAATTCCATTGCTAGGACATGGACTAGATTGGCAAATAATAAATCAGTGCTAACGATATAAATTGCCGCAGCAATCATCATCAGGATTTCTGACAAGCACATCATTTCATACACAAATGGTTGCAGAAGATCAAATGACAAATTTAAATTTAATATAAGTTCCCAATCTACACTTTCTGACTTTACATAGCCGTAAAGTTGATGCAGATAAGGAATCATGCTTAGATGTGAGACGATGAAAGCAATCATACTGTAAAATAACTTTTCAACCCATTTCGCGGTATTTAAATATTTGTGAACATTGAAGTTGAGCTGATCAACTCCAGAATGAGGAAAATATTCGTCAAGCTTCTTCACAACTTCGAGAATGTTTGCTACATTATTTTTATTTACTATAATGATTTTAAACAGCACAACGAAATAGATTCCAGCAACTAATGCATTTTCTATTAGCATCGGAATATTTTTATTTTGCAGTGAGAAAATGAAAGAAATTATTTCCAAGAACAACAACAAGAATATTAAAAGCTGGAAAATTGGACCATTCCATTTGAGCCATTTGCTAAGTTTAACTTGATTTTTTTCAACAAATGTAAATCCTAACATATTTACTGTTTTCTCATAACGCAAGAAATCTTCAAATAATATGTATCTTGGTGGACTAGCTCGGTTCCTTGCAAACTTAAGCTTTATAGTCTTTTTAAGGTTTTGAAAATTTAGTCTAATTTTATTCAACACCTCCTGCATTTTTATAATAATTTAGTTGTATTTAAGCAGAGTTGATACGGATTTGCCTTTGACAAAGGCATTGCCTTTGACTTTGCAAGATTTTGCCTTTTGCAAAGGCACAAAAAAGGCACAAGCCTTTTTAGTTGCCTTTGCAAGACACTGCCTTTGCCTTTGACTTTACCTTTGCAAAGGCAGAAAAAATTGCCTTTGCCTTTATTGTGCCTTTTTAAAAGGCAATGTTTTCTTGCCTTTGCCTAAAAATGCATTTTAAAGACAAATGCCTTTATCTTTGAATTAGCTTTGACTTTCCACTTCAATTTAAATTGTAAAAATTTTTCATACTTATTAATTTTAAATTTTCATGATAGATAAAACCACTGATTTTAGTTGTGAAGCAGGATATATTTTATATTTAAAAAATTAATGAGCAAATGGAAAACGATTCATTTAGAATTATATTTTACATATTAAATTAAATTAATACGATCAATAAGATCTAAATTGTCTCTGACGACGATTATAGAATCTAATGAATCTTTAAATAGATTCGTTCTAATGTGCGACAACACAAGAGCAAAAATTGAGAAGGTGCGTTCATTTTTCAGTTTTCAGAACCACATGATAATCATAATTTTATGTTTTAAATTTAAAAAAATTGAATTTGGCAGTTGTGTAATTTTTACAAGGATTATATCAGGAGTTGATCATAAATAACGTCCATCAAAAATCGTATTGATCCAATTCCCTGACCAAAAGTTTTCAAACAATTTTCTTTCTTCTGAATCGAGCTCTCACCCAGCAAATTGCCTTTGACCTTGGAAGATTTTGCCTTTTGCAAAGGCACAAAAAAGGCAAAGGCAATTTTTTCTGCCTTTGCAAAGGCAAGGTTAAAGGCAAAGGCAAATCTTTGAAAAGGCAAAAAAAATTGCCTTTGCCTTTTTTGTGCCTTTGCAAAGGTAACAACCAGTAAACTTTGCCTTTCAAGTGCCTTTGACAAAAGATTTTTTTTGAAACCTTGCCTTTGCATTGCCTTTGAAAGATTTGCCTTTTTCAAAGTCAAAGGCAAGATATCAACTCTGTATTTAAGTTGAAGCTTTGCAAAATACTAAATCGTAGTCCTTCTGTTGAAATACAAAATTGTGCCAATATACATTGAATTGTTACATTATTCATTTTCCTTTTCAAAATTTTCTCACGATTAGTTTTGCAAAAAGTTTTATTTTGCAACTGTTTTTTGATTTGTTTGGGGAAATGCAGACTATTTGAAAATTCAAACATCGATCCAGCAACATTAAAGTTTTGTAAAATGTTAACAGACTTTATTCATCATTTATAAAACATTTTGTCTATCATATCTTACTTATATCAAGTAAGTTACTACAAATACATGTTATTAGGTTTTGAACATCAATATTTAAGCAATGTCAAGTGCATTTAAGTGTTTACACATTTTGATTTCACATTTTAAATAATTGAAATCATCAACATCAGCAGTTTAAGCGCTATATGTTCCTTCTAAGAAGGATTAATATTTATATGAAGTTGTCTTCAAGACCTTAAATTTATTTAAATTGTTATTTAATTAACATTTCTAGATTGAAAGATTTCTAATGGCATGTCGAAAAACTTCCAAGCCATAATTGTTTGAGACTTTTGAGCTCTCAATACGACGACAAGCAAAAACCGCTGAAACTTCACACTTCTTGAATACCATTCAATGTTGTAAGCTGAATTAGAAACTGCTGTCGATGAGCTGATGAGGTTGTGAACAAAACGTAATAATTTTAAATCTGATCTATATTGCATTTATTGACGACATACTGTCCGGTAATAACTCACATTTTACACTTTTGTATTTGTATACACATGAATTAATATTATGTAGGATCAAACTTCTAATCTTCATATCTAGGTTACAAAATCTAAGGCTCTCGTTTCGATCTTCTGTGGGCGTGACGTGATACTTTTCAGGCCCGTTCTAACAATAATCCATTCGTGGGTAATCTTGTAGCTCTCGTTCCTATTTCTCCCGCTACACTTCAAGTTCCTGACCTGTTCCTTAATCCAACGTTGCCCAAATGCCCAATTATGGCTTGATCTCGTACATTAAGCAGTCGAAGTATCTAAACTTCCGAAAAAGAACAAATTTGAAAATGGCTGGATTCGAACCGACGACCTTCGAGTTACCATCCCAAATTTGAGCCAAGTGCCTTACCTATTCGACCAGCAAGGCACTTAACTGCTTGAGTCAGAAAACTGTAACATCCAATGTTTTTAATCAGGAAATAAATTTTTTGTGTGTCTTGGATTGGACGTCACAAGGGGGATATTGACATCTGTGACAGTTTTGTAAGAATCAAATGCAAGCAACTAGAAGTCTCTACAACATTCATTAATAATTATAAATAAATTAAGTAACTTTACAAACATTAATATCAATATAGGTACATTAATATTTTAGTATATCATGTGCTGATTGTTATGCAACTTTCATGTTAGCTTCCGCGTGGAAAACGGAAGGTGTTTCTTTTTCACATTTCAAATAATTCAAATTCACATAAGTAGTTTATGATCCATAAGTACTTTTTAGAACCGAGTAATATGAATAAGATGTTGTCATAATCTGGAAGAATTTAAAGCTATTTAATTTTTTTTATTGTTAATTGAAATTTCGAAGTTACCCATTGAAAAATTTCTAATGACATGTCAAAAAACTTCCAAGCTTTAATTGTTTGAGGCTTTTGGGCTCTCAACATGATGAGAAGCAGATAATGTTGAAACTTCACACTTCTTGAATACCATTCAATGTTATAAGCTGAAGTACAAATTGCTGTTGATGAGCTTGATTGGATATAAAAAAACAAATCCTAAATTTCCAATTTTTGTGTGAGAAGACAACCGATTTTAACTTACTTGATCAACAGCTGAGGAAAGTAGCAAAGCGCAAAAATTTGAAGTGGAACTAACACTGGAAAAACATAAAACTTCACGATGAAGTAAGGACTGATGCCTGACTGAAAATAAATAATCAAATAATTATTCCATAAAAAATTAAATTTATTCATTCTTAAAGCTACCACAACAAGAAAGCATCCAAAGCATAAAGCAACAATTGTGCCGAAAGCATTGATGAGTTGCAATGGAGAAAAAACTTTATTTAATTTTTGTGATATTTCAATCAGCTTTTGATGAACGTTGATTAGATTTTTGAGTTCTCTGATCGCCTCTTGTTCGTCTTTAATCAATCCAATTTCAATTATTTTTATACACAAAATATCAAACTCCATTACAAGTACATGGACTAAGTCAACAAATAGCAGATCGGTACAAATAATATAGATGCTTGAAGCAATCATCAGCAAAACTTCAATTATAGATACTAATTCATAAACAAATGGTTGAAGAAGATCAACTGACAAGTCAAAATTAAACATAAGTTCCCATTCTACTTCTACTGAATATAAAATGCCATAAAGTTGATGCAGACATGGCATCAAAGTAAGATGCAAGACGATAAAGGTCAGCCTAAAATAATATGACTTTTCGAGCCATCTATTAATTCTCAAATAAGTGTGAACTTTAAAGCTAAGCTGATCAACACCAGAATGAGGAAAATACTCGTGAAGCTTCTTGATGATTTCGAGTATCTTTGTCGCATTAACATGAAATATTATAATTCCTTTAAACAGCACAACAAAAAATACTCCAATTAGTAATGCGTTTTCAAGCATAAATGGCACATTATTATTGTACAGCGACAAAATAAACGAAACTAGTTCCAAAATCAAAAACAAGAATATTAAAAGTTGGAAACAAAATCCATTCCATTTTAGCCATTTATTAAGCTTATCTCGATTTCTCTCAACAAATGTAAAGCCTAGTAGATTAATTGTTGTCTCATAAGTCAAGAAATCTTCAAAAAGAATGTATCTTGGTGGACTTGTTTGATTCTTTGCAAACTTAAGTTTGAAACAATTTTGTATATTTTGAAAATTCCTTCTAATTCTGTTTAAAATCTCGTACATTTTTTTTAAATTTACTTCTTATCACTTTGAAAGTTTGCAAACTACTAAAATGAGATTCTTAGTATGAACCATACTTGCGGTAACATACTTTACATTAACCAGTTGCAAAAACATGGAACATACTCCCGATCAGCATACATTAAAATGTTTGTCACCCAGAAGCCTAGTTAGAAACCATCTCCAACTAGATGTTAAGTGGTTGTCACGTGGATGTCGCTTGGTTCTAATTTTACTATGAACCCGACTGCCGTGTGGCAAACCTTTCAATGAAATTCAATGTATGCTGATCGGGACTGATATTTAGTGTGACCAGATTTGTTTTGGTATACGTGAATGAAAATGAAAGTTGGATGATAGTTGCTAGTAAACTAATTTTTTCACACATTGGAACCATTCATTTTATCTCCCTGAAGAATAGACTTGATTTTCTGCATAAGTATTTCTAAAACAAGATGTGGAAATTGAAACTTAAAGCATAAAAAATATATCTTTTGCTAAACCTCATTATAAATTCAATCAATAACGTAGCCAACGTAAGTTATCGTAAACACATATGATTAAGTTCTCAATTTAAATATTTTAATAATGGCAAATGCATTAAAGTGTTTGCAATTTTTTAAAATTCTCATATTGAATAATTTATTATGTCCACATCAGCATTTCATGATCCATAAGTTCCTTCTAGAACAGAATAATACGAAT